TGACAGAAGGACTGCCCCGTAGGGGTTCCTAGGCTGTAATCCTCACAGCGACCCCATATGACAGAAGGACTGCCCCGTAGGGGTTCCTAGGCTGTTATCTTTTCTGGACAAATCGCCAGGTCTCTTCTCATGCAGCGCAGCGGGTGGGTCTGAACTGCAGATCTTTCAGCTAGCAGCTGAGCGCTTAACCACTGCACCACTAGGGCTCCCTAATAAGACTGGGATTGGCCAAAAAATACCACAGAAGTAGACTGCTCTGGGCAGCACTTCTCACAGGAGTACCTTTACCTACGTGAGCTAAGAAGGAAGCCAGGCTCCGGGAATTCGGGAGCAAGTCACAACCCACAGCAAACCTGACATAACTGAGCTGGGAGAGGTAGGGGAATGGGACAGACCTGCGTGAAGTTATAATACGTTCCCAGAAAGCGCATGATAACAGAAGAAACCACTGATCTGCCCGCAGGCTCTGGAGCACAGGGACTGATACCTGTATAGCTCTCCCGCTGGCAGATACAAACACCTCCACTGTGGTCGTATAGTCTCCCCCGGCAAACTTCTCCTTCTCAGTCTTTCTTCCTTTTACAACAGGAATTGCCAGGAGTTCTTCATACACCCGAGCATACAAGTCAAGGATCTGCAATACCTGTAATAACATTTTAAAAGCAAATGTGTTCAAATTTAGGGCATATTTATTAATTACAGCTCCATAAAACTGCAGAATTTAAAACTAACTGTATTAGAAAAACACTTCAGGCATAAGAACCTTTCCTGTTAAGGAAGACTGTTATGAACTGAATTATGTCACCCAAAAATATGTGTTGTAAATCCTAACCTCTATGCTTGTGGTTATAATTCCATTTGGGAGTAGGCTGTTTTGTTATGTTAATGAGGCAGGATGAGTATAGGGTGTATCTTGAGTCAATCTCTTTTGAGATATAAAAGAGATTAAACAAGGGAGCAGAGGAGAGATGGGGTAAGACAGATGCCAAGACACATGGGGGTCTCCAAGGAGGCAGAAGCTGAGCAGACGAGGACCTTCCTCCAGAGCAGACAGAGAGAGAAAACCTCGCCTAGAGCCGGCGCTCTGAACTCAGACTTCTAGCCTCAACTGTTTGTTAAAGCCATCCACTTGTGGTATTTCTGTTCAGCAGCACTAAGTAACTAAGACAAAGACATTCAACAAAATGGTGTGAACAGAAGCTGAAATTTTTTTAGAAATTTATATTAATTCAAAATATAAAAGTGAAAATAAAATGCTTATGAAAGATGTACAGCAATCAGGGTAAAAATCTCCCCAAGAACCATGGTCTCGGGGAACATCTAGCTCAATTGGCATGACATTACATATAAAGATAATGCTCTACATTCTACCTTGGTGAGTAGTGTCTGGGGTCTTAAAAGCCTGTGAGCGGCCATCTAAGATACTCCACTGGTCTCATCTCT